CTTTAGCAGCTGAAAATTGTTTAAAATATTGATATAAATTCACTAATCAAAATGGATCCGGGTGGATTCTGGTGGATTCTATGGATTCTGGTGGATTCTAGAATCCATCAGGAGCCGCTTTTTCCCCCTTGCTTTGAACACTAACACATTAAGAACTCTCGTTTATCAGTATTGTTAAAATAAAAGCACCGACGTAATTCATTGTATTCACATTTCAATTTAATTAAGTATATGACTATGTCATCTCATCTTTCGCCTTGCAGACTTTTGTAGAAAAGTAAACTCGAAAAGTAATCATATAAGGGCAATATTCTCGATTGCTATGGCTGTTCAACCGTTTCTGTTGACATGAGGTTCATAAAAAAAACTTTTTAAATAATAATTTGTCATTCAAATATTAAAAAAAAGTAGAGTGATGACGCACGAACACTCTTGGGAAAATGTTTATACACGTAGATATAATAAAAAAGAGCAGGACATAAAATTAAAAAAACTTTTCTCAATTTAAAAAAATGGCAAAGTAGAAAAGAGGAAACTCTTTTATTCACGACGAAAGGAAAATATAAAATGACGCTTGATTGTCTAACATCAAAACATTTGTTTCTCTTTGTTCTTCTCAAAACCGTTACTCTAAAAGTATTCACGATAGAACTTATGGTATTGAATACGTCACTAAATATTGGTTTTGTAAATAATTGAAATATTGTTTCATTGTGTACTCGTCGATTTTCAAATCGTCTTTCACTTGTATTCATTCCAATGTCAGTAACAAGTGATCTATTCTATAATAATTGTCTTTATCAATTGCTCACTAAAAACTCAGTTTATACGGAAGATCTTCTACAAGAACTTAATTCGATACTTCACGAACAACCAGAATTAGCTCGACTATGCCATCCAATTGAAGGTTCTTACTTTCATGTTATATGTCGAAATTCCAATGAACAAGAAAAGTAAATTTAAATGATTGATATAGAATAGTCTATTTTTTATTTTCAATTCTTGATAGTGTTTCTCATCGAATGATTTATGCATTGAGTAATGCCGGTGCCAATCCGAATTTCACAAACGAAAAAGGCAATACACCTTTACATGAAGTACTTATACGTGGCTTCGCAAATATTGGACTTGATCTTGTTCAGGTAGGCAATCGATCGATGAAATTTTTCAAACGTGTTCTTTTTTTCCTTCATATAGGCTCTATTCCGTGTGGGAGTTGATCAACGTATTTTGAATAAACAAGAAAAAGCAGCATACACTTATCTTGAAGATCAATCACAACTGATTGCACTGTACGATGGTTACGGGCAAGGAATATGGACAGCAATCGAAACAAATAATATTCAAGAAACGGAACGATTGATGAAAGGTAATCAGTCAAGGGATTGATTTGATAATGATATAATTGATATCAAATAGCGATTTCATGTTTGCGCATACCTGTACGATGGCTCTTTAGTGCACTAATAATAGTCTAAAAGCCTGGTGTTTTGAATATCGTGTCAGAAAATATGAATTCAGAACATAAAATTTTAATAAGAGTGTTTGTTGAAGACTTATCACATCTAACGTAAGCGTAGAAAATTTGGGACTAAACTTTAATATTTTTGTTCCAGGGCTCATGAAATTCAATTCATGCGTCAAGTCAGTAAGATCAAATCGAGAAACAAAAACTTAGATTGTTTTGTTACTGCGTCAATTTAAAACAACATTGAAGTTTCGAAAATGTCATGCTTATTAAAGATTCACATCGTCTGCCAGCTTCACAGTCATATGATTGCGTTTTTTCTCATGTTCATCAGGAATCATAAGCACCAGGAAGAGAGCTAGTAGCTCTGAACGAATACATCCTAACAACGTAACTACTAATCAAAGGGTTTATCGGAATCTTCTTTTTAGAGAATAGACGCTACCGAAAAAGATTTTACTATTATCTGTTGAAAAATATAGAACCAGTACTATATGCATATGCAAAAACCTGTAAGAGAATGTCCTTGATTTCAAAATTAGTGTACATATTAATTGAGCGACTAAATCTTTGTGGTTTTTATTCTTTAGGCTTTATAAAAGTCAATTGTAAACATGAGAACAACGAAACACTATTGGACAAAGCTCGCGCCGGTAAATGTACTGATATAGTTCGTATTCTCGCCGACTATCAAGTTACTATTGAATTCGTTCATTCAATTCTTGCATGTGATTGGGATAGAGTATCACTTATACATCAATATGAAGGTCAATTTATAAAAATGAATATATCCGATTCTCTTCATACACTAACATGGGTACGAACAGGAAATCGAACATACTCAAAGCCTATACTTGAATTTTGTCTCGATACAAAATCATTAGCACCATTTGAAACTATATTTAATTCATCAATATTGAAATCTAAAATTGATGTTAATGTATTCTGTACTAATGGTTTACCATTTTTCTTTCATATGTTTGCTAAATGTATTTCAAGTGATATTCAACAATCTATTTTCTCAAATGCAAATTTTAATTTAAAGTCTTCAAAAGGTGAAACATTTTTAGTTCGACTTATTCATTTATACGATGAATATGAAAATAAAGAATATTTAAATGTATTTGATCAAATACTAAATAAACAACCCTTACTTCTTTCACAACGTGATGAACACGGAAGAACAGTTGTGGATCATATTGAATTAACATCATCATTATCTTATCATAAGTTGAGTATATTCTATGAGAAAATCAAGGAAATACTTATGAATCAAATTAAAAACGATACTATCATTGAACGTTTCATATTAAACAGTTTCGGTTATCATTTATTATTATTTTTTAATGATGAAAATGCACCATTGACAAGATCAGCCAATGATTTGTTACGTTCATTAAAATTACGGCAAGGTTTACCAGCATTAATGTTTAATTTATCACAAGCTATAGAAGAGAATGATTTAGTCAAAATACAAAGTATTTTTAAAACTAAATCGAATATTTATTTTGCGAAAGATTGGTCTGGAAGAACATGTGCCCATTTAGCAGTACTTTATCAACGTCGGCAAATTTTAGCGTAAGAAAAAATCTTCGCATTGGTCTGACCTAGACATAAATGCTTATTTATTTTAGTTTTCTCTATGAAAAGTGTCATACTGTTTTGGACCTAACAGATAATCTTGATCGTACACCACTACATTACGCATGTATAATGAATGATGAAGCCACCATCGCTATCCTCGAAAAAGCATCTGCAAAACAAGTAATCGATTTTTTTAAAAACGTCCAATTTCTCATATTCATTATATGTGTTTCTTCTTCTTTTTGTTAGACGATAGATTGCTTTAATTTATTTCCAAATGATTATAAAACTAAGCGTAGTTTATGTTGCGAAGAATTTTATGCTCAAGATTTTCCTAAAAAGGAACTTGAAAAATGTGTGCCCGGTTTAAGTGATTATTTAAAATTATCATTTTATTTCCCATTAAAAAAATCCATTGAAGAAAACTCTATTGAGAGTATTAAATTAATTAATAGTGAAATCAATACGATGGGTTTCTATCTTGAAGATTTCAATCCCAATTCATATGCAAATGATTGGTTAAAAGGTGAACGTTATATTCCATTATTATTTGTTGCACTGGAACTTCGTTCAATCTCGTTAATTCAATGTTTAATGGAATTAGGTTTACCGCTGACGGGTCGAATGTATATATCGAAGGCAGTAAATATGAAGAATTCTCGATGTGTTTCGTTTCGAACATTGGCCGAAGAACTCGAATGTTTTGATATTATTGAAATGATGAATGATTTAGAAGATGATAGTGAATTAAAAACTCTTTTTAAAAGTCACTTATCATCTGCTGAAACAAATCGTAGACAACCGTCGATTAATTCAGAGCAACAATTGAAAAGAAAAAAGATGCCAGCACACGTATCAAATGTGAATAAACAAAATATTAAAGATAACAGTCATCGCTCAGAAACTTGTATTCTATTGTAAAGAAAAAATAAAAACCCTTTTTGTTTTTTTCATCTATCACAATCTTTATCAGAATTGAGAATGAAAAATCATAGAATAATAATTGCCCATCGCTATGTTAACGAAATACATAATTCGCTCTGTACGTAGAATTTATTTCTAGAACACGTTTTTTTTAAATCTGTACGTTGAGAATGAGTTAAATAAAATATTTTTCGGTAGACAACTTCATGTATTAAACTGTCTATTCAGAAACAGTTTCGTTACAAATATGAATCAATCATAATTCTTAACAATGATCATGAGATTTAACTATTCAGAACTACAAACGACAATCATATCTATTGATAAACAAATCTCTTGTCGACTATAATGTTTTGATCCTTTCTGTTTGATGTCAGAAGCATTTCTATTGACCTTGAATTAACAGAAAAATAACGATTCCATCATATATCTTCTTAATCTTCTTCGGTTCAGCAGACTCATTGTTTTACTTTAAACTAGTTTACGCCGCAAAAATAAGATTTCTATATGAGGTTAATACAACAGAAAAATAATTCATTTCCTTTGTTTTACCGTGTCTAAATAGTAGCTTGTCTACTTTGATATAAAATTACGTTGATCACATTATCTGTACACAAACAAATATGATAGTTGTCTTAGTCAAATGTCATCGGACTGTATTGCGCATGTCGTTTTGATTAGATTTCTATCGCACAATTAATAAAATATCTTTTGATTCTGACAAATAGCATTTTTTTCTTTTTACAAAAGTTTCTATCGTACTGGACGAAGACATTTACAGTGTATGAACTTGATTGCTACACCGGTAATATATAAACAGTGTGGATTTCAATACGTTATTATTCTAGACATACAAATAATAATCTCTTCTAAGTCGGTACCATTCATATAAAACCATTGATGAAATATTAAAAATCAATTTCTAAAATTCAACAATACTATGAATAACAGTGTGCCAGCGTATGTCAGACATTCATACTGTTTCAATACCTTGCAAATCGTGTCAAATCCTGTAGCTAAATTTAACTTCTATGTTCATTTGTACTTAATTTATGATTACAAGCGATTTTACACGTACAGAATTTAATAATACTCACAAAAAAATATCTGACTAGTGATAAAAAAAGAAAAAGAAAACTGTTCTCGATAAAAATTAAATAATAACAGGTGGTTTATAATGAGGAATTTCATGATATAGATGATAGCCTGGCTGGTCCGGACAGCAAGTCGATGGCAACTGACAATAGCAAAATATCGGCATTGATTGATGACGATGAAAACTTTTTATTGAATTTTCTTCTATTGAATTATTAGAGGTTGCAATGTGTGTTGTATCGGAGCCAGTTGTTTGATAATATGAATCTATTGTTGCTGATTTTAATGAATGAGGATATTGTTTACGTTGTTTGATAAGAAATAATATTAGAATAGAAAGTATGAATAAAATAATAATAATGCCCAAAGTTATACCAATGATAACATATTCAATATTAATAGTTACTGATGATGATGATGATGATGATGATGATGATGATGATAGAGAAATATATTGTTGGCTTTTTGTTGTTATATTTCGACAAAGATATTGTTCACTTGTTTGTAAACACAATGAATAGGATGTTGATGGTTTTAAATTTTCAAGGAGATAATAATTTTGTGTTTTATTCAAATAAATAAATGGTAATGGTCTATTATTTTCAGTAACAATTAATTTTAAAGACGATAATAAATCAGTCAATGACCATTCAAGTATAGCTGTTTCAGAATCTTTTATCCATACAGTAAATGATGATATTCTAATAAAAGAAGTGTATTTAAAAAGACGTAAAAAAATTAATTCATTTCTTTAAATACTTACTGTTTTTCTTCACAGATCAATTGATGATCCAATAAAGAACCTAATTGTTTTCCATAGAGATTTTCTGGTTTTGAACAAATCCACTGTACATATGGAACAAGTTCCGATTGAAAATGAGATAATAACCAATAGTACAATGATTTTATATGACAATTACAATGTAATGGATTTGAACTAAGATCAAGTGTAACAAGTTGAGATAGATGTTGAAATGTTTTATTGTTAAATGGTAAACTAGTTAAGCGATTATTACCCAAGGTTAATTCACGTAATGATGAAGGATATTGAGATGATATTTGTGTTAATTGATTACGTTGTAAATCGATGACACATAATTTTGACATTGAGGAAAAAAGATTTTCCGGATAAATATTTGTTAATGAATTTGATTGAAGTTTTAAACGTTCGAGATTTTTCAAACGTAAAAATGCAATTAAAGATTCCGATGTTAAAGAACATGATTGACAACTTAGGTTACGTAGAGAATATTCTACACCAGAAAATGCATCGATCGACAATGGAATCAATGGATTACGGTCCATATTTAAATCTTCAAGTGAACGAGTATAATTAAACAAACCTATGCAATTAAAATAGAATGAATAGACGTTTGAAAACAAAGACATGATTTTAAGGATTAGGAAATGAATGAATAATATATATTATTATCAACCCTTCAAACAGAAACAGCCGTCTGTTTGAAAAGGAAATGAAATGTTAATTGAGGCTCTTTTTTGCTTAGATTAAAAGTAGATATAAACATCATGGGATAGCACAGCCTTGCATTTTATCAAATGTAATCTAAAACGGAGTGTTGAACTAGAGAGGTAAAGATATTTGGCTGTTGTTGATATAGAATCAAAGACCTTGCACCAATGATAACTTGTTATAATCAATGAACTACTTCCTTCGTGCGTTTCTAGAGGATTAAATAAATGAATGATAAAGAATTGTGTCTCAAAATGGATGAAATCAAAAAATCTCTCTTTAATTAACAACAACAACAACGGCTACATCATCCTTTATATTTCAATCTCCTGTGGATTTCTTTTAGAAATTTCTGTCCTATGATTTCATGAATGCAATCATTCATTACGAATAGAAAAAAGAACATTATTCCGTTCTTCATAGAAGTTCACAGTAGTATATCACATGCAAATCTTTAGATTTTTGTTGTTGAGAGTTTATCTACGGAAATGTTGTGTTTACATTGATGAAATCTATATTTTTTTATCTTAGAAGTCATATCGTACATCGTTGACAGACTGATTTCTGTTGCTTTCAACAACACGAAGCAAAAAAAAGATTGCATTGTTATATGCGAAAACATGATTAAGACACATTTCTTTCTCGGCAAAGAATTCTGAATATGATTGTAATAGAATTGAATTACATCAAAAGTATGTGTTAATCTGTTTCTGTTAGAAAAAAGATGTGATCTGTCTAGTTTTATTCATAGTGATAGTCCTATCATATCTGTTCGTTAAAAATAACAAATTATGCAATACAAATTAACTCGAAACTAAGAAAAATTTCAATAGAATTAAATGATTACATTTGTTATCCCTATAATACGTATTGAATTTGTTGTCGCTATTTTCAATCACTGCACCGTTAGATTTCCTCATTCCACACTCGAATTATGCAAAGAAGTTGTAGTTCTCAATGCAGTGACTATCAACAAAAAAATAATTAAAGAAGACCAAACATATCGATCATTTTAGCCCAAGGGCTTCATATGAACGCTTAATGTTACAGAAAGAAAGAAAAATAAAATTTAGTATAGAAAAAAAAGAAGCAGTGTACAATATCTGGTTACGATTCTATATAGCTATTACTGATGGGATATGCATAACTGATTTCTGCGTCCGATAATCAATGAAATATAAGTAGCAATATAAAGTTGATATCTGTTAATCAATCTATAACATATGCTTATTCTTCATTTAGATAACAGATTAAATGGGAAAATGTTTATTTCTATGAGTTTTACTATAGGGAATTGAACTTATGACAAGACGAAATCATTACCTTTTGGTATCATTTGAATATTATTTCTTGCTAAGTTTAATTTTTTAAGTTTATGCAAATATTGAAATAAATCTGAATTCATCAATAGAAATTCATTACTTTGTAAAGATAAAATTTCCAATGAATTATCTTCTGTAATAAAATTCTTGTTTAAACTATGCACAGCATTAAAATCGAGTATTAATTCTTTTAATTGTTTTGGTATTGAACCATAAATTTGTTCCGATGTTAATAGATTATTTTGTAAATTTAATATTTGTAAATTATTCATATTATTAATTACTAATTTTTTTAAATAATTATATGATAAATCCAAATATTGTAAATTATTATTTAATAATTTAATATCAAATTCTTGTATATAATTATTTGATAATGATAATTTTTCAAGTGAAATTAAACGATTTATTTCGGAAAATATTTTTTGATCAAGTTTATTATGATCGAGATACAAGTAACGTAAATGTTTTTCAATGAAACTAAACGCATTTGTTTCAATAAACTGTATATTACATGATTTTAATGTTAGACTTTCTAGTTTTTTCATATGATTAAATATATTTGACGGTAATATACGTAGATTCAAACCAATTAATGTTACACTTTTAATATTGATCAAATTTTTTTGTATTGCCAATGGAATTCTATCGACAATAGTTGAATCGAATTCTAATATTAATTCTTCAAGATAGTTTTCTAATTCACGAAATGCATTTTCATCAATTGATTTCAATTGATTACCCGTCATAACAAGACGTTTTATGCGTAAACCATTAAATGCATTTGCATGTATATGTGCTATTAAATTATCGGATAAAATAAGTTCATCGAACGCTAAATTAAATAAACGGTTGGATGAAAACCGTGGAATTTCAGATAAAGATTTTCGTGCACAATGTACATAATTTATACCATCATCACGAATACCTGATTGACATACATCAAGAAGATTTAAACATGATGAATGAACAATAAATGAAATCAATAGAAATTTTAAATACATTATCTACAAAGAAAAACTTTTCTTATCAATAACAGTCAAGCTGACTATAGATATATAGTTATTGTTATATTTGTGAGCGGCTGAAGAGACGAAAATACTGCCTGCATCACGTTCTGTACACACATACATAGCAAATAAAGCTCAGACAAAAACAATATCCGCTTAACTCTGGTTAGATAAATTGTCATTTATTCTTCCAAGATTGAGTGCTTACAATTAAAAAAAAATGCTATTCACAATCTTCTTATCAGCTTTAATGAAGAATTAAACAATCGAACATTTTTGAATCGGTAACTTTTTAAAAAAAGTCAGCTGCTATTACGAGTAAGAAGCTCTGTTCATACGATAAAGAGATGAAACAAAAGATAAACTTCAAATGTACTTCTCACTCAACACTAACATATAGATAGTTGTATCAAAAAATATGGAGCAGACATAAGGCAAATACAAAAGAATATAATAATGAAAAATTAACTTGTCAAGTCAATACATCAACACCTTTCCTACTTTCTTCTTTCTTTCCAACAGAAGAGAAAAGTCGCCTTGATTTTACCACATACTTAAATGCATTCTATATCAGTAGGAAAAAGTCTCGTAAAGTATTCTCTATTCTATTTAATGACTGATCTCCAGTATTCATTTTGATATTAGCACCATTAAAACGGAAGACCTTCGCTTACCTTTACAATTCTTATTTACTTATACATATGAACAAATGAAAGTTGAAATAGCTTCGGCATAGTATGGGGTATAACAATAAGGCAAAAAGTTACAAAATGACGAATAAACGAACGATAGAGAAAGCAAGACACTAGAGGAAGAGAGAAAGAGGAGAAAAGAATGCATAGAAAATTCTCATTGATGCAGAGCGAATGAACAATAACAGGGAACAGAATCACTAATCCTTCATTGATTGTATATATAGAGAGAGAGAGAAATAAGAGTGTCATTCTTCATCGACTTACAATTAACCTTCTCATTTCGACTTCGCTCTTTAGAACACAACCGACAGTAGTATTCGTAAATGTATCAATAGCGATACTAATTGAAAAACGCATCAACTAGAACAAGAGCAAAAGACGAATTCATGTGTAACCAGAGAAAAAGCACGACATAACCAATGAATTACATAGACAGGCGCTAAATGGATTTTCAATCATTGTCAGAGAAAAAGAAAACGATGATGATGATGATGCTGTTGTCTATTCAATCATTTAAACAGAAACTATATTTATATTCAACACATCATTATAATGTGAGATTTCCCATAAAGAGAAAATTGTTCATGTAACTCATTTGTGCTAATCGAATGTATGTATATATATAAGAATATTCTCTTGTGGTATGGTGCATCGATGATTTTCTTCGTCGAATACTGTCCAGACAATGACAAATTTACTTTTCAATTGTTCTTCAATTGTCGTTCGATGAAAATAAAAGAAACGTCACATATACACAACGATTAGAAAGATTTGTTATTGTTGCGAGAACAAATGCGTATATATATATTTATTTATACTCAATAGAAGTCTTATGTATTATTAGACGAATGATGATCATCGAGACTGAAGTGACGAAACTGTATTAAAAGTCAGTCATGAAATTCAATTGAATAAAGATAAAGACGATAAAAATTCATAGAAAATATTCTAAGTGTCAAAATGCTTGTCTGAATTGAAGAGAAGAAAAAACTATTGTATTAAGGTGCGAAAGATACTATTAAATAATAGTGATTCAGGTGTTATTTCACGTTTGTATGTCACATTCTTTTTAAAATCTGTTAACCTTCATTAAGAAACTATTTCCTGTTTGTTACCTGTTAAATCTAATAGAACAGAATAGAACATACTTTGTTTGTATAAGCGATACCATTAAGATTAAGAAATGTATGTTCAAGTATGTTACCTACTAATTGTACGGATTCAAGGGTTCATGTGAACTACTTAGGCGTCATTTATTGATATCCATTAACGTTCTTCTCTCTTATACATTTGTAAACGAGAAAATAGAAGAGAGAAAGCTTTACAAATTGTTTCATTTTCCTCTAGTTGCGGTCAAATATGTATATGGATGGCAAAATTAATTTATTTTCTTAATCATGTGTTAGTGGAGGTGATGACACGCGTATACTCATGCCTAGATTGTTATTCCTATCTTCTATGGTTCATATGACGTACACACGCTCGTACCACATCTGTAAGCGCTCATCAATTCTAATTCAGATAGAAACAGAACAGACTCACAATTAAGCTCTTGTTTTATCTCAAGGTTTCTACACATTCTTATCTCAATCTTAGTCAAGTATATATATATATATATGCCGCATGCATATTATAGATGACTGACAGATCTGTGCCATCTTTTATTTTTCTCTGTTTGTTAGAAAGAAATTTTTCCATGTAATAGAACTTCAGATAAATAAAAACAAAAGCAATCGATGATAGATATTTGATCAGATATCAACATTACAATTATCACTGCACGATTATGTGAACCCATGAATAGGAAACACCATAGAGAAAATGAATAGTAGTAGTAGTTCAGAAGACGAAATATCATTCTTTTTTTTTTATTCAATAGATAACACATTCCTACTCCGCCTCTCTCGTTTATTGTCTTCACACATATGCTTCTTGTCGCTAATCTTATGCAATAGTGGCCAAGAAAAAACGCTGCTCTATGTATGTAACAGATGCTTGAACGACGGTGGTCATTAGTATAAAAAAAGGCGACGCACATCAAATACATATCAACTAGTGGGTGGTATTAGTAGCAATCGAACGGCACACGCTCTCAGCCAAAAGTATTCTCTTCACTCTGTTTTTTTATATTTTTCCGATGATGATGATGATGATGATGATGATGTCGGCGACGACGACGGCGGCGACCACTTTCGGCACCTTTCAATGCTAGAGTATATTTGAACGATTGAAGACAATAGGTTACTCTCACCTCTACATGTGTTTTGTTGATTGCACTAGAATAGCAATAATAATAATAATATTACTTCCCTTAAGCGATTATCGGCGGCGACATTGAGATTTAAGCTAATAAAAATTGCTACCAGCCGTATGATGGAATACAAAGGAAAGGTCATAGTTTCAAATATATATATATATAATTGAAATATACATATGCGATTGAGTTTATATTCGTACATATATATATATATATAGATGTATCTAAATACAGACTATACACATGAAGTTCAATTTGAATAATATGTCATAGACGTGAGAGGATCGATTTCACTCATGCAAATTCATTAGATATATATGGTTAACATGAAGAAAAGGTCAATTTCAACAGATTACAAGCTTTATCAATCAATTGGCTTAGTATACTATGGATTATGAAAGATAAAGTGTTTCTAAAACAAACAGATAGAAGGGTTAATGAAACATTTTGCAACTATGACTTCTAACAAAGATGAGACAGTGAATAAAGTGTTCATTTCATTTGTTCAACTTTTCACTATTTTTCCCATACGATCATATTAGTCATGGTATTGATATATGTATGTGCTGAGAAAATAATCGTACATATAATCAAAGAAGAACTTTCTCTTTTTCTAATTGATTGTGAAAAAACAAAATCTCATATTGTTAAGGAAAAAAACGTATGGAATAGTTTAGATTTTCTTGTCATGCTTCTATTCAATTTGAAATCATATGAGAATTATTTTTCACAATAGCCGCCGTTCGATTGATGGAATCAATAGCACATTTTAGTGATTCCCATATCTTCAAGGATAAGAAATGAAACTATACTTCTAAGATGAACACATATCAGACTTCATGATGATTGTTCCTGTATTTTTTTTTGTCTTAATAAAAATTTAACTAGCTGTTTTTAATTATGTCCTAATGTATTTCGATCGATCAATAATAGAAAAGCAAGGCGGTATTTTTCTTATAAGTTGTGTTTTTTCTCTTCGAAGAAATGCACGAGAGATACGATCTAGTAGCGCCCTTTCAGCACATTTTAAAGGTGATTTTTGCTTTGATGTTGTTTTAAATCAGAGATATCGATCAAATTCGAACTTCTTTTTTTCAAGAACACATTTACTATAACACGCTGATACGTGTATGTCCAATCAAGAAAATTATGAATTGTCATTTTGTTAATTTTTATAATAAAATAGTTTTCTATTGAGATGATTCATTACTTTTGAATCTCGCTAGAAATTAATTTAGATGCAGCTAAGAAATGATCCCTAATTATATGTATGAAATGTGATTTTGTTTAGATTGTTTCAAATCATATCATGACACCTTCTCTTGTAAGAGATTCATGACACAGTAGAGACTAGAGTAGTAGACTCGCTACCAAGAAATCGATTGATAAGATATTTTCTATTGAGAAAGAGAAAAACGCTACATCCCGTTGATTCAAAAAGCAAGTTGATTAATCGATGTTTGTTTAATCTAGTTTTTACTGATAGAACATTTGAAAATTATCATCATTGAATATTTTTGTTCTTGAATTTTTCCTGTATACATATGTTCAGCTAGTGTTTATTCATCAGCCTACGTTTCAAGGATCAATCCAACTATATAGAAAATAAATATTTTCGAATGAGGCATAGATACAAAACACTCCGAGCAATGAAAGCTTTTTATTTAACATGTTGTTTTTTTTTTCGTTGAACATAAGGTGTGTTCGTGTATTTTAATTCATTTTGAAGTGTTTGTTTAGGATAAAGTCTTACTGATCAAATGATCAGTGATTCATGACAAGTGTCACATTAAAGTTCATGACAATTATTTATTGCTTGCTACTTTCATTTTTATCTCAAATGGACTCTTCACAACGGCAACAACAAAAAAAGGCAATCCCGTTGATCTTCTTTGCTTTTTGATGAAATGAACAATTTATGCTTGCTAGAGATCATTTTCGAATATTGAATAATTTTTGAACCACGATTTCACGCATACTGTAATCTCTAGAACTATGTCGTGCTATCATCTTAGGAACATTAAGAAAATAAATTTGGAAAT